TACTCGGGAGGCTGAGGCAGAAGGATCGCTTGAGCCCAGGAGTTTGAGGTTGCTGTGAGCTAGGCTGACGCCACAGCACTCTAGCCCAGGCAACACAGTGAGACTCTGTCTCAAAAAAAATAAAAGTTCAGATGTTTGGTTTCTCTCGAGAAATCAGAAGAGATGGTGTCCCTGGGCCCACGGTCTGCCTGTCAGCTGTGGACTGGAGCAGAGCACAGCTGCCCCTCGAGGTGGGCGCACCCAGGTGGGCATCTTACCCGCCCGGCCCTGACGGCATTTGATGTTTTGCTCTTACTACCTGTATCCGTTTCTAGGTTTGTCGTAACAAATTACCACAAACTCGGTGGCTTAAAACAACAGAAATTTATTCTCTCATGATTCTGGAGGCCAGAAGTTCAAAGTCAAGGTGCTGGCAGGGCTGCCCTTCCCCCAACGGCTGTGGGGGAGAACGCTTCGTGACTCCTCCGGTTCCTGGCGTCTTGAGGTGTCCCTGGCTGTGGCTGCATCTGTAAGCCCGGTCTCTGCCTCCACCTCGTCTGTCTCAGATTTCACTCCGCCCTTCTCTGATAAGGACACTTGTTGTTGGATTTGTGGCCCACCCAGATAATCCAGAATGATCTCTTCTCAAGATCCTTAATATAATTACATCTTCAAAGTCCCCTGTTCCAAATAAATTAATATTCACAGGTTCCCGGGGATTTGACCTCGGTGTATCTTTTCTGGGAACCACCATTCAATCCACTTGAGTGCCTCAGTTGGCTCCTCTGTGAAGTGGGGATAATAATGACAGTGCCCGCATCACAGGGTTATTGTGAGGACGGAAGGAGTCATCTAAGGATTAGATACTGTTAGTGTTATTCCTGCCTGGAAGGAAAAGGCCAGGGTGGGTGGGATGGGACAGGGCACATGCCTGGCTGGTGCCGGGGAGTGCGCACAGGCCCAGGAAGCTTGCCCCAAGGCAGCCGCTAACAGCTGTCCTCCTCCACCTCCCACAGACAACGGCCCCGTGGGGAAGCGGCGCACCGGCACAGCCACCGTGTTCGTCACCGTCCTGGACGTCAATGACAACCGGCCCATCTTTCTGCAGAGCAGCTATGAGGCCAGCGTCCCCGAGGACATCCCAGAGGGCCACAGCATCGTGCAGGCAGGTGGCCCGTGGCCCCCGGGGCACATGGCAGGCTGGGGGCAGGCAGGGCCCCCCTCGGCTCTGAGGGCCTGCTCAGGGGCATCATGGTGGGGAGGGACAGAAACAGGTGAGAATCCAGGGTGGGCCTGCTGCTCTGAAAGTAGCTGGTGCTGTGGGAAAAGGGGGACCCAGGCCCACTCTCCCCACTCATGGGGAGAGTGGGCCCCCAGGTTGTGTAGCTGAGGCCAGGGCCCTGGCTCCTCGACAAGCAGAAGGAAGGCCTGGGCCTCCCTCCCCACAGCCCGCTACGCACCGCCTGCCCCACCCACAGGGCCTTTCAGAGTGGGGAGGGGAGGGAGATGTCACATTTTCCCAGAAGGGAGCTGGGGAAGGAGAGCCAGGGCCCAGCGAGGCCCAGAACAGAGCGGCTTTCACAGGGCCCTTGGCCGAGGCTCCCTCTCGGGAAGTAAACAGGCACTAGAAGAAAGGGCTCCTTTGCCCAGGGAGCAGGGACAACAGCCCCAAGCCTCAGAACGAGAGAGGAGAGGACCCTGACAGTGAAGCCCTGTGCCCTCCCCCGCCCCTGCCCAGGAGGCCTCAGTTGCTGGGTGGGGAGGGAGGCCGGGAATGAATTCCTCGCTGCCAGCCTCGGGGTTTCCGACTCGACGGGGAGGCTGAGCCAAACACAGCAGATCTGGGCCTGCCCGCTGGGCCAGGCTCCCGGGCTTGGGAAGGGCAGGAGCGTGGGAGGCCGGGAGCCTGCCCACCTCCTGCATCAGGACCAGGAGGAGGCAGGAAAGGGCCTGGGAGCAGGGGCTGACTCCCAGGAGCGCGGAGAGCCCAGGAAGCCTGGGGATTTGCAAGAGTGCGGTGGCTGGTTCCAGAAGGAGAAAGGAGGAGTGTTCTCTCCTCTGGGCCTCAGCTCATGAGGACCTGGAGAACCCCCGGCTTACTATCAGTGTCCCGGGACCAGCGGCCTGCCCAAGCGGGGGGTACTGCCAGACCTCTGAGAGCTCCCCTCCCCATCCCAGCTTTTCCTCCTCCTCCAGGCCTCAGGGCAGCCCTCCCTGCTGCCCCCAACTGCCAGGACCCTGGTGGCAGGCAGCTCTGGCCAGGAGCGGGTGATTGCAGACTGAATTCAGCCAGGGATGTTTCAGGGAGGCCTTGGGGAAGCAAACCAGGAAGAGGTTAACAAGCAGAAAGGGAGGAGGAACAAAACTTTTGGGGAGGAGGCCTGCCCCACTTTCTAAACCCCAAAGAATTGGTTTCTATTTACACAACACTACTTGGGCTGAAATCCTAGAGTCTGAGTAATGTAGGGCAGCCCTGATCCTGATTCTCACCATTTCCCAGGGAGAAATTCATGGTCTCAGGGTGGCTTCTCCAAGGCCCCGTGAGTAAGTTTCTTGCACAGCTAGACTTGCTTTTTGAGGTCCGATCGACCTGGAGGGCAGGCGTAGTGGGCCCCTCCAGCAGGGCCTGCTTGGGTAGAAATCTTTCTAGGGGCATCCGAGGGCAGAAGAGGGCTCTGTGTTGTGCGGGCTTCCACTAGGACTCCTTCTGCTTTGCGGGGTGGGGACACCCAGGCTGGGCCACCCCTCACTCCACAAACAGAGGCCCATACTTCTGTGCCCGGAGCCGAGGAGTCAAAGTGAGGCACTGGGAAGGTCTGGCTCTCCGCAAGCTCCCAGGCTTGGAGGAAGGAGAAGACAGAGGCGGGGGTGCCCCACGCTGCCAAGAGGAGAATGCTCCTTGTCCTCCCCCACAAGTGGGAGAGAACAAGGGTGGTTCAGCTGGAGGGCAAAGAGAGCTTCACGGAGTGGGTGCTATCTGAAGCGTAGGCGACAGTCAGGGAGGACAGGTAGTTCGGTTTGCCTGCAGTCTTGGGTCAAAGCGAGACTCGAAAGGTAAGTTGGAGCCAGCTCCCAGAGGGCACTGCACCTGGGCTAAGAAACTTTAGCTGTATCCAGCTAGCCTTAGGGAGCCAGTGAAGGTTTTAGAGCTGGGGAGTGGCAAACCAGAGCTCACTCATTGAGACGACTTGGCTGGCTGCACTAGGGGTCACAGGAAGGTGACACTATGGGCCGGGGCAGCTCCGTGGTGGGGCCCTGGCCAGCTGGCTCTCTGGGACAGGAGCTAGGCAGCTCAGGCCCCACTCTTCCCACTCTCCGAATTCGAGACCAAACCGAAGCATTTAACCCAGGCCTTTGGAGGAGAGGTCGAGGGTTTGGGACTCTGTGAAGTCCCTCCTGGGGTGGGATTGCTTTGGCAGCTAGCCAGTCAGTGCGGCAGTCACCAAAACACACATAGCATACCTAGTGTGGTCCAGGCCTGAGGTCCCATAGCCGTGCTGGAGAGGTCCCGGCCATCCCACCCAAGAGGAGGACGCCTCCTTCCCTGGGTGAGGCATGGAGCCACTGTGATGTGTCTGCAGAGCCCAGCTGGCATCCCCTCCAGCTGCTGGCAGTGCTCTGCCTCTTGCCACTCTGTCGCAGCAGCAGTCTGAACTCTGAAACCAGCCTCTTAACCCAACCTCAGCCCCTTCCTGACCAATCCTGACGTGGGCGCCTTGAAGAGGGCCAGTCAGGATGGCTGCCAGGGTGTGATCGGGTGGCTTGCTGCTTGCCCCTGCTGCCCGCTGCTCCCAGGCATCTGATCCACCAGGAGCGTGGTGGCTGCTCCCACAGATTACCAGGAAGACACTGACAGGGCCCAGGAAATTCAAGGAGAGAAGTCCTGGGTTCCCTCTTGCCTTGGGCACTGAGTCAGCACAGATGGCAGGACAGTACCCTGCTCCCAGGGCAGGCTGAGTGTTTCGCTTGGCTGGAGGGAACCTGTGGCCATGGCAACTTTTGACACCTGGAGGGAGGGCGGGGCTTCTGCTGGGGAGCAGGGGTGCTGCTTCCAGGCGGTGCTTGATACCTGGTTGCCAGAAAGAGGCCCCAGGTTGTACCCTGCAGAGCCTCAGGCCAAGGGCCCACGTGGCTATGGGTGCTCATCCCTTGATCCAGGGGTCTTCTAGCAAGCAGCAGGTGGGGGTCTGCAGAGAGGAAGGTATTCTTCCGGGGACCATCTCTGGGAAAGGGCAGCAGCCTAGACACACAGGAAATCGCCGGGGGTGAGTGTGTGGCCCAGGTTGCTTGGGCCACTGTCTGGCTGCAGTGCCAGGCTCTGTCTGAGGCAGGAGGATCTGCAGGTGGATCTGTGTGTAGACACCTGTCACATCTTGGTAGATTCCGTGCAGTCATAGTCGCTGCGGTTGTCACCGCATTCCGGCAGGGGGCGTCGAGGGGCAGCAGGCCTGCCGCGGCGGAAGCTGTGCAGGGAGCGGCGCAGCGAGCCCAGGCGCTTCCAGAGCCGGAGCTGGGGCTCGCTGGGGCTCCCGGGGTGGTGGGGCATGCACTCCCGAGCCCTGCGGCGGCTCGGGTCCAGCGCGGCCGGCTTGCAGAGCGTCATAAACAGCAGACAGGTGGCCAGCAGGAGGAAGATGCAGGCCAGGGCAATGAGCACAGGGAGGGGGTCGGCTGCCTCTGCAGGGGGCCCCGGAGAGACCAGAGCTGAGAGGAAGGTGAGGGGCTTGGTGGCCGGGGAGCTGGTGAGGCTGGGGCCCTCTGTGCTCATGGCTTCTGCAACAGCAACAGGACAGAAGCTCAGAGGCAGATCAGCTGCACCTGGGCAGGGGAGGAAGGGGAGACTTTCCCGGGAACATTGATGGGGCTGGGTACTGTCCAACTACATAGCATCAGGGCCATAGGACAGGTTAGCGCAGCGAGGCCCAGAAAGATGGCAAGTCCAAGTGCACGGACCGCTGATAAGTGATGGGGCTGGGCCTGAGTGCCGGTCCTCTTTCTGCTACCCCCCCCACCCCACCCCATCTGCCATGGAGGAGACAAGAGACTTGCCTTTCGGCATTTTCATTTCATTCCCATAAATTTCCATGGAGTCTTAGGCCTGAAAACTTGAGAGAAAACTTGAGATCTAGGACCAGCTGTCAGTAACTTGCTCTGTGACGGGAGCGAGCCTTAGATGATAAGATGCTACAGCTGGCAGGGACCCTGACAACTATCTGATGCCCAAGGCTGCAAACTGGGGGCCTACAGGTGTGTTTTGTTGGGTCCTTGCAGCGTTTTTATAAATTTAATTGTGAATTTAAAAAAAAAAAAAAACCAAGAGATTTCACATAAATATCTGAGTGCCTGGCTTCTTTTGAAATGGCAGAATTTCACCACTAGCAGCACTGGGCCTGTGTTCCTGCCCGATACTGGCAGCAACTGTCCCCTTTAGACAGGGCCCCGGTGCCAGCTCACCACACTCCCCCAACAGCCCACCCCATACCTTATTTCACCAGCCTGGCCTTGTGGACTTTCCAATGTAGTCCAGCCTGCTCCCATGACAAGTAGGGAAACTGAGGCCCAATCGGGGCACAGCCAAGCCCAAGCCACATTGTGAGCCAGTGGCCAAGCAAAGCCCAGGTTTCCTGACTCCTAGCCCCACGGCCTTTCCACCCCTCTGGCCCAGCCCTCTCTCTGAGCTCAGTGAGCTGCTGGGGGAACAGGTGAGAAATAAGCCCCAAGGGGTTGACAAGCAGGGGCTGGAAACCTCCCCAGAGACATCAGTCACCTGATGGGGCATTTCCGTTATCACTTAAGAGGATCCCATTAGAGGGAGCCCGGCAGACGGTCCCCGTAGATGGGAAATCAGGCTGAGCTTTTGGTTGAATACATCTGGGGTTACAAATAAAAATGCCTACAGAGCCTGGCCGGCAGATACTGCGTGACCGGAGGCCACAGGTGGGCAGGGCTGCCTGGAGAGGCTGGCTGGGCCCTCTCAAGGACGCGGAGGGGCCCAGCCCAGTCTGACAGTGTCAGTGCCAGAATGCAGGCCCCGTGTGGCCGGCTTTGCCAGTTTCCCATGAAGGCAGAAATCTGGAAGTTTTAGGCAAACATTCCTGATGCTTAAATGTTGGCAACTAATTCAAATTTAAGGCAAGAAAGAAGGGGACGAGGGGAGATACTGCAAAGACCAAACAAACTGGAAATGAATTTTCAAATATGTGCAGCACTACACAGGCCAAACAATACACATAAGCAGACTACGTGGAGCTTACAGGCCAGCGTTTGTGATCTTTGAATTCTAACACAGGACAGGAAATCCCAAAGAGGATAAACGTAAACAAAAATAAATAAATAAGTATTCTCTTTGACCTGGGAGTCTTTCAGGAGGCTGGGGGCTGGCAGATTTCCTCCTTCCCAGCTCGCGGCTTAGTCTCACTCACAGCCGAGTTGCTAGCTCCGAAGTTCGGCAGGAGGAAAGGCCTCAAGTCATGCCCAGGCTCTGCGTGTAGCCTAAAGGGAATCCCTGTCGCCAGGTGGGGAGGGGAGCCGGCCACCCAGTCCCCAACCCCAGGGAGCCCCCATGCCCTCCGCAAGCACTCACCAGCAGCCGCAGGACCTAACTCCTGGCTCCCCGCGCCCAGCGACTGAGGGCGTCCGGTGCGCCCCACCTCCCACCCATTCCCTACCACCACCCCTCCCAGCATTTCCAGACAGAAAACGACCCCTCCCAGCTGGAAACTTTGATGCCCGTCTGGCTGCCCGAGGCCTCCGCCTTTCAGGCATCAGGCCTAGAGAGCCCTCTGGCCGGGCAACCGGACGTGAGTTGGCTCTTCCTTGAGTCCGAGCAGGGAGGAGGATTGGGGTGTGCCCACTGCCATCTCCCATGGGGAGAACCCAGCTGTCTATCCTACCCTGGGCAAGGCTTGGCTGGGAAGGAGAAAGGGGCAGTCTGCAGTGGGAGATGGCTCAATCCAACTAGTTCTGACTTTATTTCAAGACCTTCAAATGGATCTGGAGACCCTATCAGGCCAGCAAAGAGGGTCCGGGCTTCAGGCCTTGGGATCTGCTTTAATAACAAGATAAGTGGAGTTGTCATTAGCATCTGAGTACTTCCTGTGGCAGCAAGAGATCCCAGAGTGCTTGAAAACAACAAGATGCCCTCCCTGGAGCACGAGGCGAGTTCGGCTGCCAGGCGCCCTGACACCCTTTGCTGGCCCGCCGGCAACAGCCAGCTGGTTCTGGGCAGAGAGGGCTCCGCCAGACCAAGGCTGGGAGTCATCTCGGGGGCAGTCGAAGCCTCTCCCTTCCCGCTGGAGCCAGGGTACCCCAGCGGGCCCTGCTCTGAGTGTATCTCTGTAAGCTCAGTCTGGAACCTTCCTTCTTCCCTTAGAGTTCCACAGACAGGGCCTGCTATGGGCAGGGAAGACTTCTGTGTGGCCTCAGGCTAGCCACTGCCCCTTGCTGGGCCTTGTTTCCGCCCTCTGCAGAACCAGAGGGTGTGCCCAGGACTCAGCACAGCCTCACATCCTCCCCACAGCCCCCCAGTAAGGGTCTCACCCCCACTTCCTTCACCAACCCTGCTCCTGCAGTCCCCCTAGCACTGACCTCAGAGCCAGCCCTCAGCAGTCCTGCTCGGTAGAGAGGTCTTCTCAGCTGTGCAAAGGAGGCCCGAGGAGCAGCAGGAGGTGCCCGCGCCCCCAGCCCTGCCCTCGGCTCCGCTGTGCCCGGCACGCCTCAGTCAGCCAGCGCCGGCAGAGTGGGCCTTCTCCCCTCACTCTCTGGCTGGGCCTGGCTTTGTCTGGAAGAGTCCCGGCCCTGCCTTGGGGGAGAGGACACGCAGGAGGGTAGGTATGGCAGCTGGGCAGGGAGGGACAGGGGGGCTGTCCAGAGGAGCTGGGGCTCCTGAGCCTTCCCACGGCCTTGGCCTCGCTCCAGCCTGTCTCCTTGGAGCCCTCTCGGGGCAGAAGGCACCAGGGGGACGCAGGGGGAGGGTTTTGCTGCCTCTCGAGGCCCCATGGCTCTCACCTTCCCCCATTGGAAGTTTAAATGGTATGGTCGGGCAGCCCGCAGCCGCTATTCAGTGCCTGCCAGCCTCCAGGTTACCGGGGAGAGGGGCCAGAGCCGCACCACCGGGTGGGACAAGCAGAGTGACAGGCCCAGCAGCCCCTGAGGCCCCTCTTCTTCCAGGCTTCTCCCGCCACTCCTCAGGAAAGCACCTTCCCCTTGAAGGCGTCTGGCTGCAGACGTGAGAGGTGAGAGCACATTCAAAGGTCTGTTTTCCAGGAGATCACAGGGCAGAAAGCACAGGACTGAGGGACAGCGAGGCTGTGCTCCGTATAGTTTGGTGGCCCTAGGACACCCTCAGCAGAGTTCCTCCACATCACACCACATGCGTGCACACACACACACACAGAGTGCACACACACACAGAGTGCACACACAGACACACACTGGCACTGACACAGACACACATTGACATGCACTGACATATACACTCACATACACAGACACACACTCATGTACATACATTGACACATATACACACACAAACACAGAGAGACATGAACAGACACACAGAGAGACACACACTGACACACATACACACGCTCACACACTCCGCTCTCCCAGCCTCCTTTCTCCCTGGAAGCCGGCGTGTCCCTGGAGCCAGCACCTGCTTAGGGGCCTGAGTCGTGAGCAGCTTCCCTGTCGGGGACCTCCAGGCTCCCAGAAGTGCAACACAAGCAGGGAGTTGTGGCTCTGGCCAACACCTGGGCGTGGGACCCACCCCCTTCCTCGGAGCCCCAGTTTTCAGTTTTTAGCTCTCTCCTCCTTCCCTGGACCACAGAACGAGGCACTGTCTGCCCGCCCCAAAATGGGTGGGAGCTTTCCTGTGCACGATCAGAGCTGGAGGGAGCCTTAGGGCTCATCTAATTCAGCACCCCCCCTCTCAGATGGTGAAATGGGGTCCAGAGAGGTGTGGCCTGCGCAAGGTCATCCAGCGAGTTAGTGGTGAGGGATCTGGTGCAGTCCCCTGGCCTGGGTGCTGGGCATAGGCGGCAGGCGTCTGGTGACGTGAATGAGCGGCATCCCACCCAGAGCTGTTCCCAGGTGCCCAGAGCCCCCACTGGGATTCCTGCCTTCCCTGCCCTCATTTTCCCAAACTGATGAAACATCTTATCTATGGCCTGAGATAGCAGAGAGCAAAACTTCCAGGGTGGCGCACGCTGCTGGGGGTGGGAGGCATCAAGGAACTCCCCCCACAGACAGATGCTCAGGGCATGCCTGGACAGCTCAGCTCCCGATCCCATTCAGATCTGGACTGTCAAAGTACCCCACAACATCCCTCCACCTTCCAGCCCTCAAGATTCTCAGGGAAGGGGGACAGACAGAACTCCACAGTGAGGGGCAACCCGGCCATGCCCACCTCTGGTACCAATCAAGGGGGCCTCCCTGGAGAAGGCAGCGTAACTCATAATGCCAACCTTCACACCTATCCCTGTGCCAGGCACCAGGCCAGATGCTTTGCAGGATGACTTCTAACCTTCCACCAACCCTGTAAGGTGGGTTATCATTGTGCCCAGTCTACAGATGAGGAAACTGAGGCTCAGAGAGTCAAGTACTTAATCCATCGTCCCATAGCCAGTAAGTGACAAAGCCTGGATTCACACATGGGTGTGCCAGACCCTTGTTCCTTTTGCTCCAGCATACTTCCCCTCCTCCCCGCCATCAGCAGATTTCGCAGAATCCTTGGGTACACACCTCTCAGTCCCTGGCTGTCCACCGAGT